CTTCAGGAATTCCACCTGTCAGGTGAGCAAGACCACAATTAGTGTATCTGTGCTCAGTGTGCTTGTGGTATCTGCAGTAGTAGTTTTGGTCTATAAGTTCTATTTCCACCTGATGCTTTTGGCTGGTTGCAAAAAGTATGGAAGAGGTGAAAGCACCTATGACGCTTTTGTTATCTACTCAAGCCAGGATGAAGACTGGGTGAGGAATGAGCTAGTAAGAAATTTAGAGGAAGGGGTACCCTCGTTTCAGCTCTGCCTTCATTATAGAGACTTTATTCCTGGGGTGGCCATTGCTGCCAACATCATTCAGGAAGGATTCCACAAGAGCCGGAAAGTTATTGTCGTGGTATCCCAGCACTTCATCCAGAGCCGTTGGTGTATCTTTGAGTATGAGATTGCTCAGACCTGGCAGTTCCTGAGCAGTCGTGCTGGCATTATCTTCATTGTCTTGCAGAAGTTGGAGAAGTCCCTACTTCAGCAGCAGGTGGAGTTGTATCGCCTTCTTAGCAGGAACACTTACCTGGAGTGGGAAGACAATGCCCTAGGGCGACACATCTTTTGGAGACGACTCAGGAAAGCCCTCCTGGATGGTAAACCATGGAGTCCAGAAGCTGCAGCTGATGCAGAAAACTGCCAGCAGGAAGCAACAACTGCTACCTGAGGAGGAGACACTCCTGAGGAGTTTCTTGCCCAATTGTATGCCACATTTGTTCAGTTAACATGAATTAATTCTGCAACATGCAGGCATTAGCTCATGGTGATGATTCAGTGGTGCCCAAGGCACACAGCTCCACCAGGCTCATGGTGCTTACAGTGCAGAGGAATAAACACTGCTAAAATACAGAACATTCCAGGTGGGCTTCCAACCAATGCAACCAAGGAGCACAGAACCACGGAAGTCAATGCAACTCTTTCTCAATCAAACCGTATTAAAATTAAGCAACTGGGCCCCAGTAAAAGCAGGAAGAAACACTGTTCTTCTCTTGGGTCTTTAGAATGGAAACCACATTATGTGTTTGATGTTGCCACTTTTCCCTTTTCTACTTGATAACGTAGATGTCTTCTGATCCAGGTACCCACTGCCATTTTAATGGCTTAAAAATGTTGAAATCTTATAACTAATTCCTGATCAACACATGCCCACAAACATCTTGGTCATTCCTTAGAATGATCTATTTGTTAGTTAATAATTACCGATACATTTTTGTTTTTATAAATCCAGTTTTTCATATTTTGTCTATAAGCCCACGTCATAAATAAAATTTTTAGAGGCATGTAGGAAATTTCTATATTTAACCACTATTTTTCAAGCAAGTATATATAATACACTTTGTCACTTGGTGTCATTCTAAAGTTATTGCCTTCTAAGTTATGAGTAAGTAAAGGCAGCATTAAAATAATTTGACTGAAAAAGACACAAGTAAAAAAACATAGGGGAAGGAAAGTCCAATTTCCTGCTCTCATAATGAGAAATTTGAAGCAGAGGCAGAGGCTGAAGCAGCATTACCTCTGAGGGTCATCTTTTTTATGGTTCTAGAAACATTATGGCTGATGGGGTGCCCAGAAGAAATGTTGTAGTGTAGTGGTAATTTCTTCTCAAGGAGAAGTGTGCCTTGATTGATACTGAATCACCACAGGGAGACATGAAAGGCCGGGACCTCTTTCCTGTTCCCTTCCCACTGCTAGATCTGCTTCTGCTGTGTCATTCCCTGTCCCTGACCACATTTTGGAAAGATGGGATATTTTCATTGAGAAAACAAAGAGTGGATATTTTCATTGAGAAAACAATATGGTCAAGGCTATTTTTTTTCTTTTTTTGTAAAAGGGGAGTTCCCAGGAATGTACATAGAACCATCTTCCCCAGAAAGAGTTCTTCAAAGAAAGAACAATGAGGACATCATCAAGGAAGTGCAAATCAAAACCACAATGAGCTATCACCTTGCAGCAGTTGGAATGATGACACATGCTGAGGATGTGTAGAAATTAGAACCTTTCTACACAGTTGGTGGAAATGTAAAGTGGTACAGTCCTAGAGAAAAGATTATGGAAATTCCTCCAAAAATTAAAAATGAAACTGTCATATGATCACTCTGAATATATGCCCAAAAGGATTGAAATCAGGATCTCAAAATTACATTTGTACCCCTATGTTCATTGCTCCATTATTCACAGCCAATTGATAGAAGCCACACAAATGCCCACTGGTAGAAAAAATGGATAAAGAAAGTATGCTCTATAGATGCAATGGGATATTATCCAGTCTTTAGAAAAAAGGAAATCCTGCCATCAGTGTCAACATGGATAAAGCTGTAGGCAACTCTTAAGTGGAATAAGCCAGTCACAGAAGGACAAATACTGAATGGTTCCACTTCCATGAAACACCAAACTAGTCCAACTCATAAAAGCAGAAGGATAAGAGAATGGTGTTACCAGGGGCCCAGGGGAGGAGAAAAAAGATAAATGAGGAGTTGTTCAATTGATACAAAGTTACAGTTATACAAGATGAATTAGTACTAAAGATATGCAGTACAGGATGGTGCCTATCATAAACAACACTATTGCATGCACTTGAAAGTTTTTTGACAGAGTAGCACTCATGTGAAGTCCTCTTCACACACACACACACACAAACACACACAAACCAAAAATAAAAATAAAATGAAATGACACAGGGAACTTTGGAGATGATGGGTGCATCTGTTATCTTGAGTACAGTGATGTTTTCACAGGTCTGTATGCATATGTCCAAACTCATTGAACTGTACTCATTATATATGTGTAGCTTTTCTTTTTTGGTATATCCATTATATGTCATTGAAGCTGTAAAAAGGAAGAAAATCCAGGTGCTAACACTGGAAATATATCCATCTTTGAGAATGTGTTGATGACTGTTTCAGAGTGTATCTGATCACGGTTAGGGTAGCTGAACACTCTTGGGTGTGTTTATATGTCTCATGTACTAATGAAAGTGTATGTATGTATTTGAACACATGCCTCTATGTGTTCCTGTTGGAGTTTCTGCATATGCAAGAGCCGGTGCATCTGTTGAATCCTCACAGGATATTAGTGCAATTATATTCCATGGGAATATGTGTGTTTGATAGGCATGTCCATGGCTGCTTGAGACAGGCTCTCTGTTCTTGTATTTGTATGTGATTGTGCCTCTGCAAATGTCTACATTAGGTTCTGAGAGTTCTGGGAAGTGTGTGATGTGTATGTGTCTATGCCATATGTGGGTGTGCTTATGTCACAGCTGTGTACTCATTCTACATGTGTTTAAGCAATTAAGCAAGGCTCCACGAAGGAAGATCAGAATATAACTGAGGAGCTGAACATGACACAGTGCTAAAGAGCAGCGCTTTGGAAGGCTGAACCTTGGGAAGGACCCAGGTTTTCATCTGGAGACCTCCCTTTGTACTGTGGGCATGAGACCATGATTCTAGGCTGGCTGGAGCTGGGAGGTGGATGGTGATATTAAGACCTTATTGGGGGTGCTGTATCTTTCTCACTTACGGAAGAGATAAATAAATAAGCTTTAGAAACAAAACAAGACAAAATGAGCTGAAATTTGTGTTTGTTTGTTTGTTTGTTTACAAGACTGGCACTGGTTTCCTTCTCATCAGTCCTCTTTTCCACATGAGAATTCCAGAAGTCTCCCCATGAGGTAGACATAAAGGGAAAAGAGTACATATATTCAGAATCAGAAGGAGAAGAAAGAGGAAAGTCAGGCTCTCTGCAGCCCTTCAAAACATCTGGTTGGAGGCCAGCAGGTGGTGTGGTGGTTAAGGTGCTGGACTCCTGCATGGTTGAGCATGGTTTAAGTCCTGGACCTAGCGACTTGTAAATCACATTGGTTGCATGTGGGTACATGCCCAAAATCCCAGGAGGAGAATGGAGGAGAAGGACTTGTGGTGTGGTTATCCTTCCTTGGGATTGAGTTCTCACTTTACTCTCCACCCCTCCCCATGCCCCCCTCCCCCCGTCTCTCTGGTGAGTACACTTGCCCTATGATAAAAACCTAAATAATAATAATAAAACATCTGGATAAAACTAACAAAAGGTAGAATTAAAAGAAGTTAATACTAATTATGGTGTCTTAAATTTGTGCAATACTCTACAACTTGGAGCATATTCATACAATTATAAGCACATCTGAATCTCTAATTAGCCTGGTGAGGTAGCAGATCAAGAATTAGTTTCCCCATTTTACTGATGCGAAGCCTGAAGTTCCATGAAGTAGATTTATTGTCAATGGGCCAAGAGTAAGCAAGTGGCAAGACCCAATCTTGGGCTGCCAGCCCACTCAAAGTAGCTCACTGTCTAACACACCCATTGCTTCATGCAATAAATTTGCCAAACCCAGAAGTGAAACCTCCATCGTTCTCTCTGTGGTTGACACTAGTCAAGGGTTTTTCAACTGAAACCATATATACACACACACACATATAAATAAATCATATGCCACATGATTTATTTATAACACATCTTTTTCTATAAAGAACTTGAGGGAACTTTAAGCAAAGCATACACAGGCAATAGGGTTAGTCAATGAGAAGAAGAAAATCTGATCAAAGAACAAAAAAAGGACAGAAAAACACCGAAAATAAGATTAGGCATTGTATATTCTATTTTGACTCCAGAGAGGATCTGTGGTGTTTTGGATGGTGTAACTTTTAGGGAAAACCAAAACTCAAATTCACTGCTTACCAACCATGTATCTTGGTCTTCCCTTTTCTGGGAGTCTAGCTAATACAAATGTTAAAGAAGAGTAAGAGCAGAAATATTACTTCCCACTGTTCTAAGATTTGGAAATAATATATGTTCAACACAAGGGACATTATATATTTTTTCTTTCATTTACTATGGGACAAGTGCACTCACCAGAGATAGACAAAGAAAGAGAGTAAGAGAGGAAAAGTAATAAATTATCCTCCAGAGTAGGTGGCCACTTTGTAATCCCTTCTCCTCCATTCTCCTCTTGGGATTTTGGGCAAGTACATGCATGCGCCTGGTGTGATTTTTCAAGCCTTGGGGTCCCAGACACAAACCACACAGCCAACCCATGTGGGATCTAGCCACCTTAACCTCCAGGCCACCTGCTGGCCCATCAAAGGACACTATTCTTATGAGTGATCATGCCTCTGCGGTTTTGTAAAAGGTATTACAGGAGATGCACTGGGTGATCCTCTCAATAACAGTACTATAGCAATTGCTGTTTTCTCAGCCAGTGTGAATGTAACTGTAATCAGACAGTTTCATTCTGTCTCACCCTCCACCCAGAGGACTGTTAGACAAAGCTTTTTTTCTGAACTCTCTAACCTTTCTAGGGATGACCAACAGGTCTTATGTAAACTTAGAAGATCTCTCACAAGACTGCCTGGGAATTTCATAAGGGCCAAGAGCGCACTCATCAACCCATTGCTTCCCTAATCTGAGCACAGAGTCCAACACACAGTAAAGACAACACCTGCGTTTATTATTATTATTTTAATTACAAAAGTCAATGTATTTCAAAAGCATAACGGAGCATTTATATTGAAACTAGGTGATGAACAGGTGTCTTACAAAAGCAAAAAAATTTCATGGCGTCAAGTGTTTCATTCAAATTTTTGCAACAAAAATAACCTAGACTGTGTACTCTTGCCTCTGTGAGGTAGTAGGGGAAGGAGAACAGAACACCTATTTATTTGAAGAACTGACAAATGAACAAAGCACTGTCTTTTCATATGTATTGCCTTGAGTTTCCCAGTTAAGACCCCAAGTCCCAGACCACAATTCTCTGCTGCCCGTCCATCTTCTGTTCCTATTGATATCTGCATGATCTTCTCAACTTTGTCCCACTTGATCTCTTAAGTCCAAGCATTCCCCAAACTACTTTATGAAGAAAAAGAGAGAGTTTTTCTTATAATTATCTTTAATGGCTATTTGTGGATCCTATTCCTCTGCTGTATGGGACATCTAGTTTAAATTTGCACACGATGTCTGTAAGGTGGACACTAGTAATCTTAGTATTGTTACATTGGGAAACTAAGGTTTGATGAGTCTCAGTAACTACCCTACATCACACAGGTTGTACATGGCAGGGTTCTAATTAAAACCCATTCTCTCGGATTCTAAAAAACAACTATGCTAGGTGGTTTCTTGAGTTCCTTCCTCTGATTTCATATAGACATATAGTACTACTGCTTTTTATTTTGATTTTCTCTTTGCTGTAGCCGCGTTTTGAAACTATAACCCAGATAGTGAGATTATTAAAAAAAAAGAGGGATATTGGGCTGCAGGATGAGCTGTATAAGAGACCAGTCAGTATGGGGAATTGATGGTTTCCCCTGACAAAGATGGACTGAGCCTTTCATACTTCAGCTCTTTATTGATAGAATCAATTATTTTCCGTGTGGATTCTACGCCTCTCAGGCAAGTGGACTCCCATTTTCTCCAACTCTATGGCCTCCTGGGGGAGCCCCACAGTCTAGTGGTTAAGCAGGCCGAATCTATATGGCCAACCTTGGTTTGAACCTTAACCCCAAGGCAGCTCGTAAAACATACTGAGCGCAAGTCTGTGCATGCCCCAAATCCTAACAGGATGGAAAAATGAAGAAAATGGATTATGGCATGACCATATCCCATTCAAGGGTACATCTCCTCCTCCCTCTTTCTGTCTTTGGTGAGCATACACACCCTCTGAAAATTGAAAAATAATAAATAGACACATGCCCCCAGATTGGCCCAACTATGGGGCCAACATCCTTCACTTAGGGATTTCTTCTGCTACATGACTGTAAATAAGCCTATTTCTTTCAATACCTTTATTGAATGACAGAGACATGCCATTGAAAAGGAACTTAGTGAAGAGATTAAGCTGATGGTTTGTATACCTTGACATAAGATTGAAATTGGACTCTCTGGAGGAGGAGCACGGGAGCATGTCTTCTGGCCACAGTTTCCTTCTAGCAGAATTGCTCCCCACAACCCCACCCCCTTATTTAATTAATTAATTTATTTATTTTGAGAAGTTTTTGCTATAGCACGTGTGCACTCAGCAGAAAGACAGAGACAGAGAGACAGAAAAGGAAAAATCACTCCCCAGGGTGTGTGTACTTACCAGAAAGACAGAGACAGAGAGACAGAAAAGGAAAAATCGATCCCTCTTGTTGTACATGGCAGGGTTCTAATTAAAACCCATTCTCTCGGATTCTAAAAAACAACTATGCTAGGTGGTTTCTTGAGTTCCTTCCTCTGATTTCATATAGACATATAGTACTACTGCTTTTTATTTTGATTTTCTCTTTGCTGTAGCCGCGTTTTGAAACTATAACCCAGATAGTGAGATTATTAAAAAAAAAGAGGGATATTGGGCTGCAGGATGAGCTGTATAAGAGACCAGTCAGTATGGGGAATTGATGGTTTCCCCTGACAAAGATGGACTGAGCCTTTCATACTTCAGCTCTTTATTGATAGAATCAATTATTTTCCGTGTGGATTCTACGCCTCTCAGGCAAGTGGACTCCCATTTTCTCCAACTCTATGGCCTCCTGGGGGAGCCCCACAGTCTAGTGGTTAAGCAGGCCGAATCTATATGGCCAACCTTGGTTTGAACCTTAACCCCAAGGCAGCTCGTAAAACATACTGAGCGCAAGTCTGTGCATGCCCCAAATCCTAACAGGATGGAAAAATGAAGAAAATGGATTATGGCATGACCATATCCCATTCAAGGGTACATCTCCTCCTCCCTCTTTCTGTCTTTGGTGAGCATACACACCCTCTGAAAATTGAAAAATAATAAATAGACACATGCCCCCAGATTGGCCCAACTATGGGGCCAACATCCTTCACTTAGGGATTTCTTC